CCGTGACACATAGGGATGGTTTGCACATGCCCTCCACTGGCTGACATTCCATTGCAGCTACATCCACAACGTTTAGTAAGACTCTGGACAGGATGGCAAATAGAATCAATCACAAGTCACAGTTATATGAGGAAGCAATAGGGACTTTATTTAAGAATGGGTGGATTTATCAAAATGAGAGGGAGGACACTGATTGGCAAAAGGGAAAACGAACAGGAACATAATGCCCATTGTTGTCAGAACAAACGCTCAAACACAGCAAATGAGGAACAGCTGGAACGAATCAACAGCCGATAAAGCAAGACAATCATCTGACACGTGGTTTTAGTCAACATTTAATCATATTTTGCTTCTTTCTTTTCAGCAAGATAGTTTGATTGTGAGTAGTAGGTAAGATTGTAAAATTGTGACTTTCTCTTCACTGGATTGATTTATTCACCTATGCATCACTGATAAATCCTTTGCTAAGTGTATGAAGAATACAACCATTTAAAATCAGAGGGTAAGAAGGTGGTAGTCTTCTCATAACAGGAAGTATGCTTCACACTCCACAGCCTTCAATGTAGGAGCTCAGGTCACGACCACGGCAGTGTGAGTCCCAGCCATACCTGACGATCAAAATGACACAAATTATCAAGAGATCTCAGGACTGGAGGAAACATAAAAACAACACAAATCTGAAAGCCTCTGCCCTACATCAGGAGCGGAATTTGATAGATCAAAAGCTGACGTGAGTTTGTGGAATCCATAGAAAATGCTATGTCACTCATCAACAGATTCAGCTAAACTTAATGCTAACCAGACAGGGACTGTATGCATTCTTACCAAGCAGCCATGCCATTGGGGTCTCTGACCACACGCTTGGCGCACTGGATGGCTACGTCAATGTTGTCAGACAGCAGTTCTGCAAAACAAAGACCAAATAATGTTATCTGGTGCACATTTGAAGGTACAGTACAAATGAAAATGTGAGCTGATTAAATATTTGAAAACCCAAAGCATTCTCTTATCTATCATCTTACGCTCACTATTACAACCTGGCTGGTATCATGGTATTTTCCTCACTCCTTACTACATTTGATGAGGCTTCTCTACTCACCACTACAGTCGATACCACAACCATTGGACGTAGGTGTCTGGTAATTGTTGCACCACCAGCGGCTGTTGATCTGGAAAATGCCGTAGTCCGTTGATCCATCACTGTCATGGTCGATAGCTTCTGTGTTGTAGTCTGACTCCCATTGGACCAAACAGATCCCTGGGCAAAATCACACAAATTTAATATTGAAACATAAACAGATAATAATAAAATTTGGCATTAGCATTTGCATTCCCAAATGACCCAAACAGCTAACTACTGTGTAAGATGTATAAAGAGGAATTTGCCAACTTACAATCTGCCAGACTATACCCATGATACCCATCCATTCCTGAAGCCTCGAGTTTCTGTGCCAACTCACACCGAGAGAAAATCTTGCCATTTGCAATGGCCAAAAGGCCGAAAACAAGAAAGAGAACAGCTTTCATTCTGGAAGTAGTAAAGATCTCTGAGCAAGTCAGTGTAAAATGGTAAAGTCCCTCAAGCGATGCCCCAATATAAAGAGGAGGGCTGTGATTTGCACAGTCAGTAATATTTGTTTAATAATGAAAAATTCCATTCTGCTGATTCAGGGTTTGTGTTTGCGGGGCGTCCTTCAGCTTGGCCAAGTAATCCCTTAAAGGTCAACCTAAGATGTTCAGACATGGACGTGGAACATTGTG